TCTGCGACTATGCCGACTCGCACAGAAATAAGGCCTGGCAGGAGCACGCTGCTGCTATGGCAGCTGCATTCGGGAAGGAACTGCTGGGTCACGTCATCGCCGATGATGTCAGAGGAGAAAAGCCAGTCAATGCCTTATTCAAGATCAGTAAGTCAACAATCTCCATTGTCCGTCCTAAGATCCGACTTGACCCTAATCGAAGATAGTTTCTCAAACTGTGACTCCCATTCGAGAAGAGACCACGAGAAACACGCAGTTCCTCATCGCCGATGCCTCGAAAATGGCGTATCGGGCCCGCTCAAATGCTGCAGCGTCCCTGAATTCTCAACACGCAGAATTGGTACGCACCCTCCACTCTTCACTAGCTACCTCATTTTTCAACAGGTTCAGTAACTAACAAATAACACGATTAGACCGCCTCTATCGAAGATTCTGACTCTGCCATCGATACAGAAATATCAGCTGTGTTTTCAGCAGACAAACCGACTGAAGATAATGATGATAATGCTACCGACTACCCATACACTTCGGAAAAGTCGAATCGAATTGTGCAAAAGCATTATGATGCTTATTTTGCGTCCAAGTTGTTTCAACATGTATCACAATTTGAAACAGGTGGCGACATATCCAAACTGTCTCAAGGCCTTCCAAAGCTGCTTCAGGCATTTGCAAGAAGATTGGGCTTTGAAGATTCGAAACAAGCCAACCGGGACATCATGAGATATGTCCATAAGCATCGGATGTAAGTTGTGATAAGTTGTAGTTCCTACACCTTTCATTGCCCTCGCACTTTTCTCGAGCTTTCCTTTGCTCATAATGTTTACAGGTCTATCACGCAAAGCTTCCACCAAAAGCGAGTTCAATCAATTGAAGATGACCTACCCCCAGCGTTTGCGGAGTATCAACACGCAATTGAGAACTCCTCCGCTTATCACTGGCTCCGATCGAAACTTGAGCATGACCTCCTGCACTCCATTTCTGGCGATCCATATATATCCATGATAGGGGACGCAGTCTTTGACCATGATATCTATCGTCGCGTCTCTCGAAAGTCACCACCTGCAAAATGTATTGTGGAATACGTCGTGGACTGGAACCTACTGGACTTTATACAATCACAGGGATACAGCGAGGCGCCAGAGGATGTAGTTGTTCAGGCCCTGACGGTGACAGGCAGTCCCATAGAGGCCGAGGCTCTCACATGTGGCAATTACATTCAACGTACGTGGCCTCAATCTGGGAATCAATTTTTGAGACTGTTGCAAGAATTGGTCGTCAAAGATAGGGGAACTCGGCTTCATGGTACGTATTCTAGTTGGATTTCTCCTGAAGATTCTCATGCTGATGTGCTTAGTGATGCTTGATGACGGAACGACCATCGAGGCCTCTATGCGAAAAACCGATTTTCTCTTCAAAGTTGCTGGACAGCCGGACACAGTTGTTGAAGTTGGAGAGCAGATCCAATGGATAAGTTGCACCCTTCGCTCCTCGAATATTCAGGGCGCAGTGGTCTGCGTCCCCATACTTCGGAAAGTTATTGAGACGGGTCGAACCGAAAGATCTATCTCATTCACTATGGAATTGACCGCAGAAGTTGCATCTGCCAATTTCAAGTCATCCGATCAAGGGTGCTGCTGGCGAAGCCTTTTCCGCTCGCCGTTGCTCGTTCAGGGTTATCCTGTAGCAAGGCGATCCGATCAGTCAACTCCGGGCATGGAAATGTCCTTAGCCATCATTATGGCACTGACACGAACACAGCAAATCACACTGTTCAAGCACAATCTTTTTGTGAAAGGCCATTACACGATGCTCGTGGCTGTCAAAGAGGTCAACGACGTGGTTTTATGGCATGTTCTTTCCAATGAGGATGAGCAGTATATCGAGTATCACGACAAGCGGGTACATGATCTTGCTCCTGGCCTGGACAATCCCACTGTGGTTCTAGATTTGCTTCCAGAGAAGCGACATATTGTTGGGTGGTGGCCCTTAGTTCAGATCCAAGCAGGTATGTTTTGCTGGGAGGAATGCTTTAGGATGATCGTCGATTACTGACCCATAACATGACAGGAACGTTACATGCAAATCTGGATATACGGGGATCTGGAGTGGAAGCTCCTGGTAAGGAGCTCATTTTTGAAAGATTCACCCTGGGCGTGAGCAAGTTCGCGATGGCATCTGCCAGTATCGCACTTGGCGAAAGGGACCAGCTCATCAAAATCGAAAAAGATGAGGACTTTTACCACAACAAGATCGAACGAGCCTTACAACGCTACGTCGTTTTTTATGATACGGCTGACCAGAGAGCCTGGCTTCTCGACGGAGCTACAGCACTACTGCATCTAACCAGAGCATCTCTCCATGCCAAGGAAAAGCATGGCTTCGCAATCATAACAAAGAACGAGGATATTCAAGAAAAAGAAGGGCCACAAGAGACAAGCGCTGTCCGGACGTTGACCGATCCATCCAATATGAAGCTGAAGCTTTTCGAAGAGTACGTCGGAGAAGTTGGCAAAGCCGTAACCAAACGCTCTCCAAATACTCCAGGCGACCCAAAGCCAGAAATTTCAGTCACAAAGAATACCAAGTCTCAGCTGTTCAAAGACCAAGTTGAATCAATCTACAAAACTCTCGACATATTGTTCGCTCACCAGTCAGATATGTCACCGAATGGAGTCGGCTTGGGACTGTCACGGGACTCGCTCAGGAAGTTGGAAGGTTTCGACTTCATAGATGTTGCCGCCGGAGAGACGAGATTGCACCCCAAGTTGGCTAGGCTGGAGTCGGAAGAGCTTTGGCTTAAACTTCTACGACGTTTGCGTGCTGTCACACTCTTTGGAAAAGGTTTCGGCAACATTCTTGAACCTCTGGATTTGATCGCGACTGGGAACACCCGTCTATCGGTCTGCTCTGCGTGGAGCCAAGTTCCACCTGGTCACAATTACTTGGCCGTGAGCAATATCACACTGCGGAGGATCATGAGCAATACAGGCGGCACCAGTCATCACCCTTTATCTATCGCTCGCGATCTCTAGTGGGATTGCCCTGATAAATCCTGGGAGAGCTGCGCAATCGGCGACACCAGTTCTGCTTTAGCAACCCCAAGCTGTGGTTGCGATCGGGTTCAGGTCATTCGTGAGAAAAGTCTATTCAAGAAAGGCCCATTTCGTAACCCCGAATTCCCAGATATACCAGATCATGGGGGCACTATATTTGGTGATGGCACAAAGTATAAGCGCGAAAGGATATCGCCTAGCAACACAAATCACCACGACGCAAACATGGCAGGACCAGCCTCGGCAGCATCTCCCATTGATGGCAATCCGCGGAAAAGGGCGTTTACGACAGCTTAATCAAATACTCGGATCTCTGCCCCACCGGGGGTTACAAGCACAGGCTTGGCGCTATATGCACGTTGGTTGTTGGTTCCCTTACACAGACTCATTGTTGGGTCTGTCCTGCGACAAATGGAACCCCGTACGTACCACGCTTCACTGGAAACTGACCGATGGCAGGCAGGCGGATGTGATCTTGTGTCCATGAATTGATTGACTACCGAGGAACATACCCATGTTCTGAACTGAGAGGTGCGCACAAAGATTGCAAGTCTCCAACACAACCCAGAAATGGGATAAACCATTACAGCTCTTATCTCTTCATTCTGTTCTCGAGACTTTCTCAAAGGACAATTGATCAATTCAAACTGAGTTTGTTTTCTCTTGATGAAATGCCTTCCAAGACCTCTTTAGATGGTGGCATTGCTCTAGTGACAGGGGTATGCCCTTCCAGTCACCTTGAAACCAACACCACCAGGCTAACAAGATCTCTACCTAGGCTGCAAGTGGCATTGGCAAAGAAACGGCATTGGCGTTTGCAGAGGCCGGTGTTAGAGGCATTGTATTTGCAGATGCGAATGAACAGGGCGCTCGAGATGCTGCGGAAGAGAGCAAGTCATTGAGCAAGAATGCCGACTACTGCGCGCTGGCCTTGAAGGTCGACATCGCTTCTGAAGACAGCGTCCAGGCCATGGTTGATGCAACTATAAAGGAGTTCGGCCGTATCGACTACAGCGTAAACAGTGCCGGAGTGAGTCGTCCTTTTTCGCCTCAAGTACTTCATGTCGCAGTGCTGGATATGTGCTAACACCTTGTCCAAGATTGGGAACGTCGCCCCAGCTTTAACGCCAGATGTCAATGTTGATGTTTTCACCAAAACTATTGACATCAACATCAAAGGCACTCTTCTCTGTGTTCGCGCAGTCTCGAAAGCCATGTCCACACAGGAACCGTTGACATACACCAGTCGTCGTTATGGTACGCGTAGCCTAGGAAGGGGTTGCATTGTAAACTTGGGCTCAATCAACTCGTTTATGGCTGCACCAGGAATGTCGCCATACATCGCATCCAAGCATGCCGTCGTTGGCATCACCAAGTCGGCTGCATTGGATTGCACCAAGCATCACATTCGCGTCAACTCAGTCTGCCCATCTTTTACGGATACCGCAATGATGCGGGCTGGTTACAAACGCACGCCGGGGCTGGAACAAATCGTCAATAGGGACACTCCGCTCCGTCGATCAGCCGTAGCCGAGGAAATAGCGGATTACATTATATTTCTCTGCAGTCCATCTGCGAGCTATATTAATGGAACTGGACTGACTATTGATTCGGGCATTACATTGACAGCCCATCTCTAAATTGTCAGTAGCTCTGAGAGGAGACAGGCGCACATTCGGGTCTCAAAGGCGTATGTTGATATGAACGACCAATTGATGTTTTGCCTTGCTCTTTCCTGTACTTTCATTATCCTAATAGATGGAAGCTAGAATGCCAGTCGTTCAATTCTGCATCCGTCACCAACCTACCTTTGTGTCAATGTCCGTGCAAGTGACACACCGCTATCCACAACGAGTCAGTCCCTATGAACAATCTACTAGACATGGTCACCGACCACGGCTTTTGTCGTCAAGTACACTGATTGAGTCAATAAACTTCAACAAACAAGGCATTGTGGCGGAGTGGTCTAACGCGCAAGACTAGAACTCGGTTATCTACATTGTAGATCTGATCTTCTGTAATCTTGTTCCTTCGGGAGCGTCTGTTCGAATCAGGCCAATGTCGATTTCTTTTTTCCTTTTTTATGACTATCTTGGGATCTTTTTGGTGCTGTGATGAGGCTGTCGTGGTTGTGGTTCGGGGTTGTGATTCGGGGTTGTGCTGTGGCGTGGTGGTCTTTTTGTGTCCATGTGCCAGTCGTGATGATACCAAATTGTCCGTATGCACTTCGAAGTGCTAAGTGGCAGCAAAGGCGCATTCTCAATTAACGAACAAATCATGCTGAGCTGTGGTTTTGACTTGTTATCCCGTTATCTGGCTGATTCGTGCCGTGATATGCTCACCGAAAGGCAAGCAAGCACAGGCAAAATTCTTAAATAGAAGGCCTGATGCTCAGAGGGCAGACTATGCACAAATCACTCGAATAGCTTTCGGAAATACAAGAAGGGGAATAAGAAAATGCAAAGAAAGTCAAAAATGGGACAGCTTACTGTCTCGGTCCCATCGCTGAGACTTGGTAAACCCTAAGGCCTGATGTCTGCTCCCTTTGGAAAGGGACTATTCAATTTTCTGCTACTGCAATAATATCTGCCACGTATGACTTTCCGAAACAGAGTGCTTCAGAGATGTATCATTCGCAACAGTGCAAATGGAAGAAAAAGATTTCAAGACAAGAGAAGGGGCGGGTCGGTCGCTGTTCATTGTCGAAGAATAACGGGAAATCGGGAAGCATACTGTCGTTTTGTTCGAGAGGGAGCAGCGAAGTGACGACTGCCTACAGGGAGCATCAATCAAGACTATTGAACGAACTGATTTCAAGGTCACTAACTTCAAGACTGATGACTAGATCTGTTCTAAGCGTTACGTGTGGGCAATTACATCACACGTTTGTGTACGTTATTTACGTGCCTTGAGCGGAATGGCTACTATGAATGAATTTCGTAAAATGCTTCAAGACATTGCACGGGTTTTCACATTAGGTCAGAGGAAGATCTCAATACACCAGCGCTCGGCGCCTGGGGTGCGATTTGACACCAACCTTCACAGTGCCATACGCCTCATTGAGAATATTACTCAAAGAAAGATCAAAGATCGATCAGAGAAAACTAAAAAAGAATTAAAGAGCAAAAGCAAGCGACATTAGCCCGATTCATACAAACGCTCCGGCGCGCAGTGAGCACATCTGGCCTGGAAATCGAAGGTGCATGAACGAGGTTCTTTCAGCAAGGAACGAAACGGAAGTGTCACGGATAATTTCAAATAGCTCATTTTCAAGTGAATCATGGCATGGTAGCAAAAGAAAGGTTTTGTGGTTGTGGTCATTGTGATGTATTCATGTTGCTTTCCACTGCATTCTAGCGCAGTCTATCTCTGAACTCATGTCTTCTCACGAGTGTTTCTCAGGGCAGTTTCCCACGTTCCTTCATTCTCCTTCTACTGAATCATGTTCAAGTCGAACTCGGAGTCACCACGGTACTCAATGTCGTTGTGCTCGGTACCGTCCTCCTCGTAGTAGGGAACCAGGACGAAGTCGGCGTCGCTGATGTAGCGGCAGCGGTAGCTGTCGCCGCCGGCGACGCAGAACTCGGCGCCAGAGTAGAGACCGCCGATCATGGGGAAGAGGGTAAAGTCGAAGTGGTAGCCGACGCGGTCGCAGCTGCCGTCGGTGACGTTGGGGAGTGACATGGTCTCTAGGCCGGGGATGGCGATGGAACAGTGGTTGGGGGCACCGTCGGCGGTGTTGGGGACGAAGAGGTCGAACTCGATGCTGCAGAATTCATGTGTTAGTAAACTGTACTCGGCTAGTGGTAGTCAAGTGACATCAAGGTTAGACATACCAGGCAGTCTGGTTCTGCTCCCAGTAGTAGGCAGCGTTGAAGCCATTGACGCTCCAGATGTCAGCAGCCTGAGGGGCGCTGGCAAAGGCAGGGGCGGCGACGCTGAGCATGGCCAAACCCATGGCGGCGATCTGGTTCTTGGGGGTGAACATCTTTGAGAGTTGGCTGATGAGACAGGTATGAGTGTGAATGGTGGTGTAGTTGTGGGTTGGTGGTCAGGTTTGAAGTTGACGATCGGAGTGAGTGTTGGTGATGGTGAAAGAGGTATAGATTTGGAGCGGCGGTCCAGAAATCTTGGCAGGCTTTATAGAGAATGTGATTATTCCATTTGCGCAGGTTCCGAGCACATTTGATTACGACATTCGCCTGGCGCCCTCGTCTCGTCTCGTTCACGGCGGCAGACAGCGGTGGCATTGTCGAGAGAGAACCTTGCGGTCCAGAGACCGATTGTCCTCGTCCAATCTGAAACAGCCTTTGAGTCACTCGTCAGCCTCTTTTGCAGTCATCAATAATCATCGAGGAATTTCTGTTGTTCATTTTTGGTGTCAATTGTACAACAGCTCCTGCGCAGCCGCGCCCTATATCTACATTTCGCCTCGGCATGCTGGAGGGTGGTGATACATGGCCCATTGTGAGCTCTTTTTTGGTGCAAGTCGTTCTTCTCTCTTCCCAACGCTCATCAACATAACATTTGACATTGATTATTGGTTGGCCAGTCTGATGGCTTCAGCCTCCTCCTTGGCTCTTGCAATCATTCTCTCCTCGGCCCGCTTGGCGTCGAACCACTTCTTGACAATGGCGCGGTCCACGGCAGCCTTCTCTCTGAGCTCCTCGATCTGCACCATCTCGGACCTCTCCTCCGCCGTAGGGTGTATCTGTGTGGCACCCGTCTTGTGCAAAAACTCGGCCAAGATAGCATCCGAGTGCTGATTCTTCATCTCAATCGTCACAATGCGCTCGCCCTCTTCGGGAGCCGGCGCTGGCGTCTCGTTGGTCGTGCTCGAGTGTGGCTGTCGGGCGAGCGGCAGTGGTTGGTGCCTTGATGGATGTGCTGCTGCGCTCTGGCGGAAGTAGATGGACATGACTGCTGGACCCGACTGATTGGAGTGCCTATTTATCAACATTGGGATCGCCGGGTTCCAAAACTTCAACCGCGGTAGACATGACTTCCAGAATTTCCTGCCCACCACATTGTTAGCATATCATTGACAAATGCCAGCGATGCCAGTTCAGGGTTGTCGCACCTTGGTCCAAAGTGACCCTCGTTCCATCTCAATGCAAAATCCATGTGTATCTTGGTGATCTCCGGCGGGAGAATAACCGCACCGGGGCCATGCCGTAAGTCGAGCAGCTATAATGTGGATTAGAAGAGGGCTTCCTTTAGCAGGATGCGCATCGGCGTGAAGCAATTACCTTCTGCAAATCAAGATTAGTACGTAGGGCCAGAAAGGAGCATTCAGCTGGTTCGCAAAAGACTTACGGCCTTTAATATGTTCATGCGCTTTCCAGGGTTCACCATCTTGCCGGTTGACGAGCTTCCAATGCTCAGTGGACGAGTAGGAAAATACTGCTAGGTATGAGGTGAAGCTGTCGCGCCGTGTCGTATCGTTACAGTACCCGCGCGCCCCAGTGGCCCATCAATTGCAAGACCCGACATGCAGTAAATTTCGAGGCCGGCAGCTGATACGGCCCGAAGATTATTCCTTATCGTAGACGAGTCATCCCTGCTAGCGACCCGTTAGTGGCTCAAATCCGCCTTATCGTAGCCGCTAGCTCTAGAATTTCTGGACTTTTCCATGCAAGCAGAAGAAGCTCTTGCGACTGACATGAGACTGGGAACTTTTTTATATACATAGAGGAACATTGAAGAAGATTTCATGTTGCAATTCGACACCAATTGATTTTACATGTTCTCACAACCATGCATCGCAGCTTTTCCAGAAGATGGCTAAATACTGCCCTTCGCACAAAAGAAGTCTCTACAGCTCTGGAGCTGCCAGTCTTTTTATGCCCTTCTCTTGCTGCTCATAATGCTGGTAGGCCTCGAGTCCAATCGGGTCAGGTACTCTCCAGTCGCTCGCCCTGGAGAGTGCCGTCTCGTGGCTTGCACGTGCCCACCAGCACACCAACAACGGCCACGAACATTGTTGAGAACGAAGTTCCTGATGTGAAGCCTATTCGCAAGCTTCCTGCACAATGTACGGGTTGCGGTGCTCTTTCTCAGACCTCGCACTCTGATCAACCTGGCTACTTTGACCTGGGCCGAAAAGTTGTCCGCCGATATATTGGATTAGAACAGCCCCATCAACGACCCCCCAAGCCCACTGAGCGCGATGAGAATGAGATCTTTCGCAGGACGATTGAGTCGGTGAACTTGGAAGAGCTCAAGACTCTCGGGGTCGATGTGGATGACATTGCGCCGACCTTGGCACCTCAACAAGACCAAGCTCGACCAGAAGCACCGCTCAAGACGCCTCTCTGCGACAGGTGTCACACATTAATGCATCATCAAACTGGTGTTTCCATCTATCACCCCACCATTGACTCCATCAGGGACACGCTCGAGGAGTCTCCCTACAAGTACAACCATGTGTACCATGTTCTCGATGCTGCCGACTTTCCCATGTCTTTACTCCCCAAGATTCATTCACTCCTGCACTTGATGCCGCTTCGGTCTAAAAATCGGCGGTCGAGAGCTGGCAAGTTCTACCATGGACAAAAGACGGAGATGAGTTTCATCGTCACGAGGTCGGACCTACTAGCACCGACCAAGCAGCAGGTTGACCGCCTGGTCCCATATCTTCGCGAAGTCTTGCGCGATGCCCTCGGTCGGGCGGGAGACGACCTGCGCTTGGGAAACGTTAGGTGTGTCAGTGCCAAGCGGAGTTGGTGGACCAAGGAACTAAAAGAGGATATCTGGAACCGTGGCGGCGCGGGTTGGCTGGTCGGCAAGGTCAATGTCGGAAAGAGTCAACTATTTGAAGCCGTCTTCCCCAAAGGACGAATGGACTGGGACCCATCGAGTCATCAAATCAAGGTCGACATGTTTGGCAAGGAGGGTTCTGCTGAACCACCATCAAAGCTCCGCGAAGCGCTTCAGGACATCGAGAAGGATGACTCGGATAGTAATGATTTGATTGCCGACGTGGAAGCAGACAACGTGGACGAATATGCCCTGCTACCTCCAGCACCGCCCGAGACTCAGTACCCCGAAATGCCCCTGGTTTC